TGCTGTCCGTCTGGCCTTAGGGCGGACATCATTGCGCCAACGGCTTCTCGCCCTATCGTCGAACTAAATTTCAAGCTCATCCGATTCAATTTGACTCAAATAGGAGTAGCATACGTGCGTGGGATAGAAATCGCTTTTCTCATCGTCCAACATGTTGTTATACAAGCTACGAAGTGCTACACGGTGTATCTGGGTACACCTTTTCCAGATAACTCAAATAACATTGCACTGCTGACAGTGCAAGGGTGTGTGCGTCCGACTCTGTCACGTACACGTACGTGCACAGGATGATCGCTGTACGGAGTAAGAGTAATCAGGAGAGGTAAAAAGTAGACCTGTATTATTACAATCAAACCTTTAATAACTCACTATTTGACTTCTTTTAACTATGTATAAATATAAACATACATTATAACTTTCTGAGCACCACCATTGCGTGCTTCTTTCGAAGTTAGACTTTATTGGTCAACATCTCAATTTTTAAATCAACAAGCCGATTCTTTTCAAAAATTAATGAACATCGTGTTACATCTGCGAAGAAATTAATTATTTGGTTGGATAATATTGTGAGAATAATGTGCTCGTCCTAATTAAATATTCTTACTTGAAAAATGCCTTATGTAAATTAACGTGAAACGGAGCCACACAGGTACAGTCGCCGTCCACCTAATACCTTCTATTATAATGTTATCTTCAACTTGTCGGCACGGTTGCCGAGTTTGACTTCCGAGCCACACGAAGCGAACTTGCCTGGAACGTGATTAAGATTGGCCCAGTCCAAGTGTGTAACGGGGTGAATCGTTACATAACAATTTATAAGAAATTGTTAATAGAATATAACTATAAGAGTTATATTCTCAGAATATTGTCATAAGGACAATATTCTGTAGCACTTCCAAGTAGTTCCTAATTGGTTGATATAGGCCATTATATCAACCAACGAAGACGCGCCACGACAGACGCACGCAATGAGTGGTGAGCAGATAACTGATTTACACATTTGTATTTAGACATAGTTAGATGAAGATAAATAGTGATTTATTGCAGACATTAACTATTATAAATACAGTTCTACTTTTTACTCTAACCGAGTACTCGCTTCTTCTTACCGTCTTCCTCTGCACGTACGAGTGTACGTGAAGTTACGAGGCACCGCCTTATTCTGTTATCAGAATAAGTAGCTTGTACTGTCACCAGTACAAGCTTCAGGGTGCCCCGTTACACCTGGTAGCACTTCGTAGTCCGTCCAAGGACCGCGTTCACATCCAACATGAATATGTTGGATGATGAAGATGACCAAAGCTTTCACGCTACGCGTGACGGCTACTCCCATTTGAGCGATGTCGAATGGGATGCGGTTGAACGAATGGGTTCGACCATGGGCATCCATGCAATTAGCGTCATGCTAGAGGCTCTCAATAGAGATGCCCAACATGCTACTATCGCCAAGTTCATTCAAAATGAACTTGACGCAGAACGCGAGAAAGTAGCCTTGCTTCACCAACAAGGTTCTCAACAAGCAGAGTTGTTGAGAGAACAAGGTGCTCAACAGTTTGAACTGTTGAGACAGCAGCAGGCTGCTGCTGGCGGGTCGATGCACTCGCGTCGGCCCGAGACTTTGAAGATTGACATCTCAAAGTATAGGGGGTCGAAGAAGACTCCCTCTTGAGATGGTTCGTCGAATTGGATGACGCCATAAGGGCGCGTCGCATCGACGACGGGGATATGCAAGTTGCATTTGCCCAGTCAAATCTGGCAGGACGTGCCAAGACTTGGGCACTGGGGCTCAAGCTGCACGACCCATACGCGTTTGGGTCGTTGGAAGTCTTCAAGTCGCGGCTCAGACAAACGTTTGAACCGCCTAGAGCTGAGTTCAGAGCTCGAACCGAACTCTTGAAGCTCAAGCAGGGTAAGCGTGATGTGCACGCTTACGCTCAACATATACGACATCTCACGAGTTGTATAAGTTCCAATCCGGTGGATGAACACACGTTGGTTTCGGTGTTCATGCAGGGTCTTGCGGATGGTCCCGTCAAGACTCACCTGTTCCGGCTTGAACTAGATTCACTAGAACAAGCCATTTCAATTGCGGAGCAGGAAGACTTCAGTCTGAGACAGGCTCGCGCCAGCTCGACATCATATCGTCAACCGAGACGATATGACAACGGAGGTCCAGAGCCGATGGAACTCTGTTATGTAGAGAGCGAGAAGGCTCGCTCTACAGGCTACAAGAAGTTGCAGAGATGCAACAGATGTCAAAAGACAGGACACTACGCTTACGAGTGTAGTGCCCCTCGTCCAGTGTCTCGCGACACTGGGCGTAGTGACCGTCCACCCATGAGAAAGGGGCAGGGACGAGGGTCCGCAGTTGGTGCAAAGACGCAACAACGGGATGGACCGTCAAAAAACGGACAGGATCAGTAGGTGCGGAGCACCCTACTGATCCAGCAACGTCAAGAGAATTTGTAGGCCTCTTGATGAAGGTTGCTCCCAACACACAGACATTGTGCGTTGCTGCTCTAGGTAATGAGGTCTCACTCATTACCTTGAAACTCGAAGTGACGAATAAGTTGTCCCTTCGAGCTCTAGTCGATTGTGGGGCGTCCAACAATTTTGTGCGACGCCAATCGCCAGAAGATGGTCACTTTAAATTCAGTGAATGTGACACACCTCCTACGAGGATGACGGTACGTCTTGCGACAGGCGCATCCGTAACCGTCATGAAGCGTATAGTGAGTATCCACTATACGCTAGAAGATACCCAATACGACGATGACTTTATCGTATTGGATTTGGATGACAAATTTGATGTCATCCTTGGAATACCGTGGCTCAGAAGGTACGAACCACGGGTAAACTGGCAACATCGGACAGTAACGATGCCTGCCGCTTGTTCATCAGATGGCCATCTGATGAACGTTTTGGAGCGTCCACAAGCGTGTGGATGTACTACGAGTGAGTGCGATGGCCTCACTTGTGGTACGATCGTTAGTACGACTGCACAAAACCTTAGTGTACCAAACGGTTACACTTCGGAGCAAAGTTCCGGCGGCTGTGAGGAAACACAGGCTGCGCCGAAGGTCCACCACTCGAATAAGTCGGGTGGACTGGGACAAAGATGTATCCCTAGAGGGGAACATCTAGAAGAGAAACAATCGATCGCTCAGGTTAAGCGAAACGATAATCCTAGATCGACTGGAGAGTCTTTCGTAGAGGATCTCGCTGTGGTTGCGCAACCCCAGCTAGAGGAAGTAAAGGGAATAAGTCCCAAGATTACAAATACGGCGGAAATAAGTTCCCCGAAACCCGCGGGAATAAGTCCCCGGGAAGACGAAGGAATAAGTCCTTCGAAGCCTGAGGGAATAAGTCCCCAGGAAATGACAGAGACATTGAATGTCATAGTCAATAACGGATCAAGTGTAGGCGCTTATACACTTGATCTGATTGCGCCTCCGAAGTTAACTTCGGAGATCACTCAGTTGCGAACGCTCGAACATAAAAGATTCTTGCGTGATCTGCGTAGTGGCAAAGTCAAGCAGATCTGCATACTCGTCGCTGAAGACGAGTATGTAACCGACATAAGGTCAGCAACAGTGTTTACTGAGAACGAGAGAGTTCTCAGTAGTTCATCTATGGACGAGAGTGTCCTAGATGAAAAGACACGAATTGAGCGATATGAGTCCCAATCATGGGAATCGCTCAAGGAAAATCCTCTCTATGAAGATTTGGTTGAATTCAAGGATGTATTCCCTGAAACTGTTCCGTGCGAATTACCGAAGGATAAAGGTATTCGACACGAAGTCGAGCTTAAACCAGGCTCGAAGTACTGTGTCATGAAGCAGTGGCCACTGCCTCGTGAACAAGTACTTGCGATCGACAAGTTCTTTGCCGATCGTTTAGCAGCGGGCCATGTGAGGGAATCAACTTCCCCACATAGCTCTCCGACCTTCTGTGTGCGAAAAGCAACAGGAGGGTGGCGGATAGTGCACGCGTTTAACAAATTGAACGCTGCAACGGTACCGGCTCAGACGCCGATACCGAGGAAGGACGTAATCATTGATGGTATGTCAAAGAGTACCATCTTTTCGTCCATGGATTTGATGGATGGCTTCTATCAAATCCTAATGCGGGAACGGGATACACCCTATACCGCAGTTAGCACGCCTAGCGGCATGCTCTGGGAATGGCTAGTAATGCCACAAGGGCTCAGTAATGCCCCTGCCACGTTCAACAGGTGTGTATCACATCTGTTGAGGCCAGTACGAGAATTCGCGCCGAGTTATTTCGATGACGTATTCATCCATAGTCGAGCTATGGATGGAAAGTCGGACGTTGAGGTTCACAAGTACCACGTCCGACAAGTTCTTACAATCATGCGAAAGCATCAATTGTATGCAAACCTCAAGAAGTGTATATTTGCAGCAAGCGAAATACCACTTCTTGGGTGCATCGTTGGTAAGAACGGTGTACGTCCTGATCCCGAAAAGATCAAGGCGATCACCGACTGGCCCGTGCCGGTCGATGTCAAAGGTCTTCGAAAATTCCTTGGGCTAGCGGCGTATTTGCATAAGTATTCACGCAATTACGCCGAGATGACTGTACACCTCTCTCGTTTGTTGAAAAAGAACGAGAGGTGGTTATGGAACGCTGAATGTCAACGCTCCTTTGAGGGTATCAAGCAGAGCTTGATACAATCCCCAGTCCTAGCAATAGCCGATCAGGACAGGCCATTTCATGTGGTCTGTGATGCCAGCGATTTCGCAATCGGCTGTGCATTAATGCAGTACGACCTTGAAGGCGTTGAACGCGTCGTCTGCTATCAGTCGCGTCAGCTGCAACCAGCTGAGCGGAACTATCCAGTGCATGACAAGGAACTCCTTGCCATGAAGTATGCACTCGCGAAGTTCAGAGTCTATCTATTAGGAGATAGACCCTTCGTTGTTTACACTGACCATGCGTCCTTACGCACGGCAGTGAACAGCCCGCACCTTTCACAACGAATGGCGCGGTGGTTGTCATTCTTTGCAGAATACAACTTTACGGTCGAGTACAAACCAGGACGACTTAATGTCGTCGCTGATGCACTCTCACGTCGTCCCGACTTTGAACCAGTCGCGAAACCCAACAGTGAGACAGTCACTGTTGCGGTTATGACGTCCTCAGTTCCATCTACAACGTTGTATGATGATGTGAGGCGGGCATACGCCCAAGATGGTGAGATAGTGAAGTTGTTGTCACATCTCTCCCAACCATCTCGAGAATCGTTGAAACGATTGTCGTCTGCGTATCGATCTGCATCAGATCGATACACTACTCGTAACGGTTTACTGTACTATACAGCCGTTTCTGGTGACACACCACGTGTTGTCATTCCAGATGATACTGATCTGCGTTTGCGGATCATGTTCGAGTATCACGATGCTCCTATAGGAGGACATCGTGGCCGAGAGAAAACGTATCTCACGGTGAGTCGAGACTTTTACTGTCCCCGCCAGTATCAGTTTGTGCGAAAGTATGTTCGCGCATGCGAAGTCTGCCAACGAGTGAAGTCAAGTCCTTCACTGCGTGCACCTTTACAGCCTCTACCGGTTCCGGCTGAGTGCTGGGAATCCATCTCAATGGATTTCGTCTTCGGGTTACCCAAAGACGCACGCGGGAATACGGGTATTCTCGTATTTGTTGACAGATTCAGCAAAATGGTACACCTTGTGGCTGTACCAGAGACAATCACGGCAAGTGGCTGTGCTTGTGTCTTTATTGACACCATCTTCCGACTTCATGGGTTGCCCCGTGAACTCGTATCAGACAGAGATCCACGATTCACTGCTGATTTCTGGCGTTCCGTGTTCAAATCACTCGGAACGCGCTTGAAGATGTCAACATGTGATCATCCAGAGTCAGATGGTCAGACGGAACGTGCCAATCGTGTCCTCGAAGAGATACTTCGAGGATACGTACACTCCTTTAAGAGTTGGAGTGAGTTTTTGCCGATGGTAGAGTTTGCCATCAACAACTCGGTGCATGCGTCCACGACACATACACCGTTTTACGTGAATGGCTTGCGCCATCCGCGTGTACCCACCTTACTAGAGTGTAACTCTGGTTTAAGGGGGGGAGGGACTCGCGCGAGCAAAAACCGATTTGGTTCACGCTCATCACGCTCTGACGAAGAAGTCATTGCGTTTGATGCCGATATCGATAACATCAATATCGAAGAAGATGATGCCAGTGAGAGTGCGGAAGCCCTCACTGAAGACAATGATCCCAGTGAGAGTGCGGAAGCCCTCACTGAAGAAAAGGTTGTTGTCGCTGCAGTGCGCTCACAGCACACTGAAGCTAACGAGTCATCAGATGAGTTCATACTGGCTCGTGAAACGGTAGTCCGTTTTGTGCAAGACTCCATCGCCGAAGCGGTGGATAAGCAAAAGCAAAACGCTGACAAGAATGGAAGGTCAAACACTCTTTTATTTAATAAAGGTGACTTAGTCCTACTGTCTACGGTTAATCTACCAAAGCACGTAGTGACTAACTTGGGTAGCAGTAAACTACTACCCAAGTACATTGGCCCATTTCGTGTATTGCACCGCCTAGGCAATGCATACACGATCGAGTTACCACGTAAGATGCGAACGCATCCCACGTTTTACGTTGGTCGGCTTAAGCCGTACCATCAGTACGCTGCTTCTTCCGATGAAGAACGCCCTTGCGCTCAAGCATCTCGCAGAGAGCCTTGTGCTCCCGATGGTGGGCATCAACAAGGGTCTGAAGAGCAGTTATCTCAGCCCGAGACCGATCAACAATCCCACGAGCTACCCTTAGCTCGTCACGAAGAGATGTCAGAGATCTCTCGTTCTCAAGCTGAGCAAAGGCAAACTCAGCTCGATGCTTCGAGGCAGTGTCCACCATCTGGAGACGCCTATTCCGCTCATGCTCGAGATCGTCGCGTAACCCTTGCGTTACGCGATCAAAGAAGCTCTCGGGAACACACCGATCCACATGATCGTGTGGAGAGCGTCTTTCCTCCTCCTCCACCTCCATTAGAGGACTCTCGCGGTGGCCAGCGCTATCTAGTAGAGCAGCTGTTGAACCACCGCGACGTGAACGGACGTCGGACGAGTTACCTCGTCCTGTGGCGCGGCTATCCCCCGTCCTGGGATTCTTGGGAGCCCCGCTCCCAACTGATGATCGACGTACTGGGTCTGGTTGAGCAGTACGACGCGGCACATCCTGTGCCGCAGAAGGACCGCCGGAGAAAGTCTTCCCGGCACGGTCGTAAAGGGATTTCAAGTTGTCAATCCCTTCGTACATCTCAGTAGAGACACGTACGCGCCACCACGGGCTAGTAATGAGGTAAGCCTCCTTAGGTGCTCGTGCAGAGTTGTTCACACAACATGGGCACGAGTCTCCCCAAGAGAGGCAGGGTAATCCTTTCTCCCTTTACAGACGATGCAGCTTATAGCGTGCACCTGTCGGGGTTCGCTTTTCAAACTTATCACGAGCTTTGATAAGTTTGTCGTTCCAAGCGTCACGACCTACATCCTCGAGATTATGGATGTAGGCGTTCCACGCCTGAAGTAGTGAGGGACCATCACGTTTGTGATTCCCACTGTACCATCGATGTCTGAAGAAAGCATCGATGAAGAACTCATGTTCAGCGCGATAGTCTTTCGCGCTGGGGTCAAGGTGATGAATCCTTGACGAATCGAACAATCGTGTTCGATAACGATCACTCGTCGTCGCCGACAAGTGATCCATGACAGATTTAGGAGGCATCCATGCCTTCTTCTCAGGAGCGAGACGCAACACATTGCGGTCCCGCTCTTCCTGCGACGTGCCGACAGAAGTACTGGCACCTCGCTGTGAAGTGGTGTCCATTGGAGAAACGACACCACTATTAGCGCCCGAGTCTCGCGATCTCGAGCGCCTTCGCTTCGGCGATGGTTCATCTGATTCATCAGATGAACCAAAGATGCTGCGACGTGTAGCATCATCCATGCCACGCTTGGCAGGCGGCTTGGATTCAATTGCCGTCGATACGGATCCGTCATCCGTATCAGGAGAGTACGAGACACCGAGCTCGTACTCTGTGAAGACACGAGTGTCTTCATGACCAGCGCCTGCATCACCAGTTGATACAGGCTGAGTCGATTCAGCAACCGATGGGACATCAGTTGCTGTAGTTTCTGCTTCGGCGTCCGCACAGAGACGTGCGGACGCGCTCTCGGCGGCCTTGCTCGCGCATCGCATGGGCTTGTTTACCATGCGATGAGATGTTGGAAAGTGGACGCGGATCAACAAGTGCAAACCCCGTCCCAAATGATTTGGGACGAGTATCCATTTAGTCAATCAGTCACTAAAGTGACTGATGGTTAAGGGGGGGGTGATGTAACGGGGTGAATCGTTACATAACAATTTGTAAGAAATTGTTAATAGAATATAACTATAAGAGTTAGATTCTCAGAATATTGTCATAAGGACAAATATTCTGTAGCACTTCCAAGTAGTTCCTAATTGGTTGATATAGGCCATTATATCAACCAACGAAGACGCGCCACGACAGACGCACGCAATGAGTGGTGAGCAGATAACTGATTTGCACATTTGTATTTAGACATAGTTAGATGAAGATAAATAGTGATTTATTGCAGACATTAACTATTATAAATACAGTTCTACTTTTTACTCTAACCGAGTACTCGCTTCTTCTTACCGTCTTCCTCTGCACGTACGAGTGTACGTGAAGTTACGAGGCACCGCCTTATTCTGTTATCAGAATAAGTAGCTTGTACTGTCACCAGTACAAGCTTCAGGGTGCCCCGTTACAAAGTGCGTCAGCTCCCCACCGGGTGATCGGTCTGGTGCCCGGCTATTCTTACGACTTTAGCGACCTGTCTGCGCCCCGGACAGGATATCCGATTCCACGTGCCTTTTGCGCAGTATCTTCCGTAATGACCGATGAGCCGAGCCAAGTAGACTTAGCCAGCAGGAGAAGATGGTGTAGTTCAGGCAGCGGCACAACGATAGCGTAAAAAGCAATAGCACTTGATCGACGTTTAACATTTAACATTTATAGGGCTTCGTGAGCCTGGGCCCTTCTGTGTCAGCAAAGAAGAATGCTGGTGTATGCATTCCATGCAAACTCAAGCATACGAGGACATGGAATTTTTTTTCAATTTTGTCAGCTGTATTATAAATTCTGATTATCTTAGGCATTTTATTCGATTATCAAACCAATTAATTGAGGTTTTATCTCGCGGGTAAATAAGGCGTTTTTCTGTTTCCCTACAATTTGAAATATTTTATGCAAACAGAATTATAAAAATAAAACTAAAATTAATATTGGAAAAAATGTTTGATAATCTCGTCCAGCAGTGTCTCGACCGTTGTCCCGTCCTGCGCGATTCGGGACGCAATATTAGGCGTTTCTGTCCCATCCTGCGCTATTCAGAGTCCTGATTGTCGATTGATATTCTGCTAAGAAACAAAGGATCTTATACTAAACTTTAACCCTTTCTTTGAGAAGTAAACACATGAAACAGTCATTTCCAATACGGTAATTTCATGTGTAAAGTATGTTCGTTTTCGTTTGACAGATAACAGGGCACAATCTTGCTGTAACCCAAAGTTACGGATAGGTACACACTTCTAAATCGCGCGTGGCGCAATAATTGTCTACATGATCAGGCATCATTTATACATTAATGTGACATCGTCCTATGTCAACCGACATAATGCACACCTGTTCATGCCATAGAAGATATCGATTTTACCTTTTAACGACACTGCCTAAACTTGTTGCGAGCGAACGCCGCGGTGACTTTCAGAATGCACCGACATCCATTTGTTGATGCTTTAAATTGCCTTCGAGGCGATATTCATAGTATGTATGCGAGTAAATCGCAAGATTTTTTTCGTTCAGCTACTAAAAAATTCGATGAGCAGTAGATAATACGCTCATTATTGTGTGGTGATCCTCACAGTCCCCTTTATTCTCTCCCTTTTTTATCTCTCTTCAGCTGCAGCTACTGCTCTGGATTTAAGAATTGATATCCTCGTTGCCTTAATTGGCATTGCCACTTTCACTTCGTCTTTCTCGTATCATCTTCTCTTTATTATTGCCACCCATGTGTTTGTACATTTACTGCCGGACGAAGTCGCATATGTCCTTCTTAGCTTATTTAGTAATTTTTTAGGTCTCCTCGGTCTTTGAAATGAAGATGTTTTGCCCTCATTACCGATTTTAAGAATTTTAAGGTTGTACATGATAGTTCGATGTTGAACGCAGTCCTAATACTGATTTACTAGCAATTTTTCTAGCTGAACATATGCGCGAACGACTGTGGAGCTGATAAACGATCTTAGCAGGATCGCCTTGTACCGAGCCTTTACCCATCGCAGTGGCCGCTTCGCCACTAGCAGTGCTCTATGGTAATAAAAATCGATTGCGCCTGTGACAGTAACGAAAGAGAAAGGGTAGACGTTGTATTTAAATGACCATTTATCATTGCTAGTTTCGATGGATCACTTACAACAGAGGAAGTAGGCATAATTAAAAAGGAGAAAACTCTGCAATTCTGTTTTATCGAACATGTAAAGATAGAAATTGATTATGTTTGTACATGTCTGAACAATAACAGTCTGCGCTGCTGCTGAGTATCTTGGAGGGAGATTGCGTGCACGTCTGAAAGAGTGATCACTACCAAATCATCTTGGCAATAATAATCAGTGTAAAAGTAGATGGGCAGTAGAGATTAGTCGCGGGGTGTATTTTGCATTTGAGTGCAAAAAAGTCTCTTCACAGTTTGGTAATGTGTATATTTGCAAATAGTTAGCTAGGAAAAGGTATCGTAACACACTTCAAGTCGTGCGACCTGTCAAATTTATTCTGCCATATAATCCTTGAGCTGACTGAGCTGTCATTCCTGTTACTTCGGTGGCATACGAAGCCCGCCGTCGAGACGAATCGTCTCGCCGTTGATCATTTTGTTGTCAATAATTGCATGTACCAAATGAGCATACTCTTCGGGGTTTCCCAAACGACTTGGAAATGGGACACTGTCGCCAAGTTCCTTTTGCATTTTCTCGGGGAGTCCTGCCAAAAGTGGCGTCATAAACAGACCTGCAGCATAACAACATGTAGTTTTACTTTAGTGACCGACGTACAATTAGCATCAGTCTGTGGTGCTTTCAACGCATTTTACCTGGCGCAATTGTGTTCACGCGGATACCGTAAGAGGACAGGTCTCGTGCAAGAGGAAGCGTCATTCCTACGACGGCTGCTTTGCTGGTCGCGTACGCCACTTGTCCGATTTGCCCTTCGTATGCAGCAATGCTGGCAGTATTGATGATGACGCCGCGCTCGCCGTCAGGGCCCGGCCTTGCTTTCGACATGCTACATCGACAATAACTCTGACTAAAATTCTTGCTATAATAAAAGAAGCTTCATCCACTCACCGTTCAGCCGCAAGCCGAGCAACGTTAAATGACCCAATCGCGTTCACGCTTAAAGTCCGTTCGTAAGTACTAAGCGGATGCACGCCTTTCTTGCTCAGCGTCTTGATCGCCAGAGCAATACCGGCGCAATTGACGGCCGTGTTCACAGGCTCACCGAAGACCGATTCAGCCAGGTCGAGTGCTGACGCCACATCTTCCTCCTTTGTTACCTACTGACCAGTCACACATGTTTCTATACCACACAATTGCAAACTCGCAGGAAAAAAGCTGGCGTCTTGCAAACCATACATCGATGGGGCTAAAGTGGCACGATGCGCCCAGATCTCTTGCGACAGTCGCTCCTTCGCTGCTTGCGAGGTCGCACATAATCACGCGCGCTCCGTTTTGCACGAACCGAGTGGCAGTGGCCCGGCCCAGACCAGAGGCTGCTCCGGTGATGATAGCGACGCGAGAGGACAAAGCCATACGATCTATCGAAAATGATTTCTCCCTTCCGGAAGTCCAGCGTGGACCACAATTAATTGACACGCAAATACGTATGGTACGCCACTTCATCACTTCAAGAAGCAGCCGGTGTAATTGATGTCTCGCAAGATTAGCGAGCCATGCAATTTGCTTCGAATCATTGATGGTGACATGAAGTAAGGTGACTTGTGTAGCAGTAATACGACTTGCCGAGTTATAAATACGGAATAGCTAATTTCACACCCCTTTTCCTTAGATTCACACCCTTCCTTCCAAATATTTCATAAAAAATCCCTATTCAATTTAAGATTTGTTTTCTGACAAAGGTATTACTCGATAATACCTTCGACGCGCGAACTCGAGAAGTACACGAAGCCGACGGGGTACATTTGCCGTACCCATCTACGTAACCTCCTTTGGGTATTGACTTTGCTGTCGTTTAAGCTATACCCGAGCTGTCCGTGGGAGATCAAGATTGCAGCCGTCTGATCGTCGACCGCAAACTGGCGCCGCGCTTTCATGGCAAAGAGATGAAGGAGGGAGGGATTCACTCTCCGGTGTCCGATCTGCTTTATGTTGGAAATATAGACGGGGGTAGACTGCCAAGGTGGTCCATCTATTGACCGAATGGCGCTGCGTGACGTTACGTTGTTTCTAGTTCTACCCTGCGAATCGGAACACGTCGAGCTGCTGCAAGAAACCCATTTGCTCCGATTGTTATCTTCAGATTCGGCCGCCACGCAAAACGATTTCGTGCGTGACGACAGTTTGCCGTCCAGAGACTCGAGATTGATGGCTTCTGACTCACGTGTCTTTTGTGTGGACTATCTGTAGCTGTCCATCTTGCAACCATGAAGGGTTTACTGTCCTGTACACGCCACTGACACCGACTGAGCTCACCTCGACCCATTCCGTGACAGTAAGCGCAGCCCCTGATTCTCTTCTTTCACTGTGCGGTTATATGCTAAGCCCTATGTTTTGCGTTACATTATAGAACGGAATGTCTCCGCGTCGAAGTAGCGCCATTGGCATCCCCAAAGCTACAGAAACAGAGTGCACTATGACGTCAAGTCTGCAGAGTGTGCAGTACGCGTCAGTGGATGACCGTGATCGGATTCGCGATTCGCTTCGCTTGCAGCTTAGCATCAGCGACAAGCCTGTCACCAACAGTCCACACCCGAATCGTGTCGCAGCGCTAAATAATGCAGCTTCCCGCGTTGCGACAACACCCGCAGACGCTGCGCGGCTAGAGGATCTGATACTCTTGGAAGCTATCCGGCGGTCGATGCAAGATGTTAGCGTCGAAAAAAACGACGAGGAGCGAGGGGAATGACAGAATGTTCATCTACTTAACAACGTGAGTGGAGGTGCCGGTGGAGGGCTTGACTTCAACGTCGGCTGTGCTAAAGGTGTGGCGCTGAACGCATCTTAAGTCAGCGTTAATGCCCGAGATGTGCTACATTTTTCCTCTAGCTCATTCACATCTCACTACCGCAACAATGCTGCGCCCCCAGTGCAAATGTCTGACACACCGAGTTGGTATTGCGGCAGCGATTAAAGTTAGGTGTCGTAAGGCTTGTTGCAGACAGAGATGCTTCAGGTAACGTGGTGCCCACGGCTGTGGAAAGATGGGTGACGTGCTGGGAGTAGTAGTAATGGGCGTACAAACGAAGTGCGAGAAGGCAAGGAATCGGACGAGTACTAAAACAGTTTGCTAATTAACATATTTAAAGTCGCCATGCTCAGTTTATCATATTCACCCATACGTTTAACGATAGCATAGTCATCACATTGGCTTTGGCGTGTACATTTTCAATACGTCAGGCTTCTGTCTAGCTGTTGCTGTGCAAGTTCGATTAGAGCGGGCTTGAGTTGGGAATGCTACTCTACGAACCCGCAGGCCAAGGTACTTCCTGGGGTTCTACTTGCGCTTGTGTCGTACTGACAATTGTCTATTCGACGGGTGGGCCGAACAGATCCCCGGCCCGAAACAGGTCGGTAGACTGACAATTTTCTGAGCGCACTACACGTCGTGCGACTTGGATTGCAAATTGAGTAGCATTTGATGTTTTCCTGTCCTTTAACCTAATTTTCTAAATCTTTGCCTTGCACCTACATTCGCTGTTATAAGTGGCCAGGAGCCTTTTGAAGTTAAGGGACCAAGTCACTCTATGGGTGACCAGGTCGGACGATGGGTGGCCAGGTCGGCTTACAGGTGACTAAGGTCCACCTTAATAGACCCGGCTGACCGACAAGCGGTTGAGAATGCTCCATTTAGGTCCTTTTAAATGGTACCGTCGGCCGGTGCGACCACGTTGAAGGTAATCTTAACCACTCGTCAAGGTTGGACCCAGCGGCCACTCTTACCTTGTGACATTAAAGTCATCGGTTTATCACCTGGTCGTGAGGTCGCATGTCCATCGGCTCCTCCATTCAGAAGTCCATATATCCCGTAACGTCGCTTCCCCACATCAACATCAATCACATGATTGACTGATAGATGAGTTAGTGAACTTTTGAAGTGGCTCTGGTACAGGGAAGCGCTTGTTGGCTAATCATCCATTATTTATCCTCATCAAATGGGTAACTGTTTCATGCGGTGTGCAGCTTAAGCTGCTAAAAAGGAACTATTGGAGTCCGCCTTATTTCCAAAGGGGAGACAAGATTACTTAAAGCAGCTGAAGTAAGATCGTCTGCTGTTTTTACGACTCATCCTGTAGTATTTGCTGCTGCAGGCGCACGCAGTGATGCACGCGCAACATCACAGATTATGAGCTCGGGCTTACATACTCTGGCGAGTCGACGGTGATCCCGACTAAAAAGAGGCAAACAAGAATGATCCAGATTTGGCTAATTAAAAACCTGTAGGTCGGTTTTACATATTGCTTTAGGTCTCAGAGCGTCTTAACATCTTCGGATCGTCCGACAAGTCGAAACATCTGTCTCCGGGACGGGTCCGCATAACTGACAGCAAAAAAGGCGGTGGCTTCGGCCACGGAACGATGCTGACAGTGATGCACTCATGCATCAGAGTTCAAGTCGCCATGGGCTCGTGGTATCGGTTTCTTTGGTTGACACCAAACAATAGACTGTGAATTGCAACATCTTGCCTATTTGCTGATGTTGATGTGCGCAGGCGAAGGCAAATTGTGAAGTGAATATTTTATGGTCCTTAGTTCGCAAACTTGCTTCGCTACCTCTAAGCCACTCATTTCCTATACTTAGACAAACTATATCAGTCCCACTGATTTAGCTAGACCAATGAAAACCCTTCGATCTTCTCAAGATCTTCTAGAAGGTTTACTGGTTTATCTAGACCAATCAACACCCTTCGATCTTCTCAAGATCTTCCAGAAGGTTTAATAAGCTCTCCTTGTGACGTCACCCGATGACGTCATGCTGTGCTTCTTCTCAGCCAGTCCTTCTCGATTCGTCCAAACCTATCCATGAACATAAAAAGAAGTAGACGGTGCTATGTTAACACTCCCACTCACCGCTATTGCTAAATGCCCTTGGGTCCAATGCAGCTTGCTTGTATCAAATAGTTCAGTCGCTTGGTCCCCAGAGCCTTCGTTAGCATGTCGGCCAATTGGTCCATGGTGGAGATGTACTTGACCATGATGATATCGTGGGCCACATTCTCCCGGATGAAGTGGTGACGAATGTCAACGTGCTTGGTTCTGGCATTGTAGCCGGCATTGCTGGCAAGCCCAATTGCTCCTTGATTGTCTTCCTAGACCCACGTTGCTCCCACTTGCTAATGACCTAGATCCTTAAGCAGCGCACGAACCCATAACACTTCCTGTGTACACAGGCTTAAAGCCATGTACTCTGCCTCAGCAGAGCTTATAGCCACCGTGCGTTGATACTTGGACTTGTATATGGCTGGTGCGCCACCGTGCGTTGATACTTGGACTTGTATATGGCTGGTGCGCCACCGATAATCACCATTATCCCTGACACGGAGCGTCGATCATCGATGTTTCTACCCCAGTCCGCGTCCGTATACGCTTTAGCTGTTACTTCGCTAGCGCTGCCGTCGTAGATTATCCCGTAGTCTCTTGTCGTCTTGAGATACCGAAGAACACGAATGGCTGCCTTCCAATGTTGCTGACCTGGATTCTCCAAAAACCTTGATAACTGCGTGATGACATACATCACATCTGGGCGCGTACATGTCGTGATGTATAGCAAACATCCGATCAGCGACCTGTACGGCTTTGACTGCATTTCTGCTCTATCGACATCCGTCGTTAAGGATTGCTTCTTTGACAGCTTCAGGCCGGACTCGCATGGGTTGACCACTGCCTTTGCGTCCTCTTGATTAAAACGGCTGGCCACATCATCGATGTATCGAGTCTGTCGAATCATCAGCTTACTGCAGTTGTGGTCATGATCAATCTCCACGCCAAGTACAAATTTAGCCTTGCCTAGCTCCTTCATTCGAAATGAGCTCTTGAGTGCTGTCTTGACCTCTTGAATCTCCCTGCTGGTCTTGGCGGCGATGATCATGTCGTCGACGTAGAGACAAACATAGACAAAGTTGTCATCTTGATGCTTGACGTAGATACACTGATCTGCTCCGCTGCTACGAAATCCGATCTGTTAGAATACAGCATGGATTATCTTGTTCCACGCATTTGCAGCCTGCTTGAGACCGTATATTGCCTTGTCCAACTTGCACATCATCTTCTCCGCATTAGCTATGCCATTTGGCACTTCCGTGTACACCTCTTCTTTGAGATCACTGTTTAAGAACGCCGTGTCTACGTCCAGCTGCTCAGTGACGTATCCCTTTGTCACCACCACAGCTAGCACAACCCTGATCGAGTTCATGTTTGCCACGGGAGAGTACGTCTCGAAGAAGTCGACACCGAATTTCTGCTTGAACCTCTTTTCGACGAGTTGAGCTTTGTAGCGCACCACTTGTCCGTGTTCGTTTCGCTTCTTAGCGAATATCCATCTGCACCCGATTGGTCGAATGTCTTGCCGTTTTGGTACCAGTGTCCAGGACCCGTTATCGGCGTGCGCCTTGAGCTCCGCTTGCATCGCTTGAATCCACTTGCTGTTGTCTTCGCCTTTTAACGCTTGGCTGTATGTTGACGGAGCGTCGTCCGCCTCGCCAACGCTTGCAGCATAGGCTAATACAGCCTCTGCAATGAGACCTCTGTCATCAATTCTTGCACGCTTGGAGAAGGTGGTCCATCGCTACCTTCTGACGTGTCTTCACTGTTATTCCCATTCTCAAGCAGCAGCATTCTGTCTCGTGAGCGTCTTGTCCGATTTATCTCCGGCTGAAATACCAACCTGTCCTCCTGAAAAGCTTGTCTCGGAGCTTAATATCCCGTTATCTCATCGCCTCTTGGTTCTTGAGTTTCTGGATCGAGTACTTGAGGTATGATGATACCTGTTTCGAATGGAGCCGATTCTATCTTGTCCATCTCGACATCAGGAGTGCTTTCTTCGACATCTTCCATCGTCTCGTCTCCATCGTGCGGACGAACCACCGGAATCACTGCTTCATCAGTGTCCCTAATATACTTGACGACTGGTACTTTATCTGGTACCACCGTGTCGTATATGCCTTCAACTATCCGCTCGTCCAGCTTTACGGAGCGCGATATGACAACCTTCGACCTTTCCAGATTGAACACCCTGTATCCCTTGGTGTTCTCCGCATATCCGAGGAACATACACCTGTAACTCTTTGGTTCGAGCTTCGTCCTCTTATCGTCGTCAATGTAAGCATACCCTTGCGATCCAAACACACGCAAATGCTCAATACTCGGCTTCATCTTGAAACCAACCTCGAACGGTGTTACGTCCGAATTTGCAGAGTTTGTGGATCTGTTGATCAAGTACACAGCCGTACTGACCGCCTCTGCCCACCACTGCATGTCGATACCCTTGTAGTACAGCATGCTCCTTGCCTTCTCCATGATAGTGCGATTCATGCGTTCCACAACGCCGTTCTGTTGCGGACTATATGGTACTGTCCGCTGGTGCATGATACCATTACGGGCGCATATATGGGCAATCTTCTTGTTGACAAACTCCGTCCCATTATCCGACCGTATACACTTCAAGTGCTTGCCCCATTTATTCTCATAGAAAGCCTTGAACTCGCTAAGCCTTGCGGCCACCTCGCTCTTGTGCTTCATGAAGTACGCTGCCACAAATCTTGAGTAGTCGTCTACGAATGTCAATACGAATCGTGCACCACCCTTTGAGACCGTCTTCATCGGTCCCATCACGTCCGTGTGTACTAGTTCCAACACACATGACGTCCTAGTTAGCGATTGAGACGGGAATGTATCGATCGTCAGCTTGCCCTTCATGCATCCACTGCACAGCTTCTCGATGCCCTGCTTTACCGCCGGCATACCACTCGTAGCGCGCTGTGTCTTGTCCATACCAGATCTTCCAGGGTGTCCCAAGCGAGCGTGCCAAAGCTCCCACTCACTTTCAGCCCCTGCGTATTCTACAAGCCGGGCTTCTTCTTGTTCGCAATCCAGGAAGTACGCCTTGCCAATCTTCTTGCCGCTTGCAATCGCGCGCTTGGCACTACAAATGATGCAGGACGAGCTTTGAAACTCCACCCTCATGCCTCGTCCTGCCAGTTTGCCAACGGACAGCAATCGTTTGTCAAGTCCTGGTATGTGCATGACATCGACCATCATGATCCGTCGACCGTCTAGACCTTTCAGCTTGACTGTTTTCACTCCAGCTACCTGCAGCTTCTTGCCATCAGCGATAGAGACTTGTTGACCAGTCTTCAACTCCTTTTACTCAAATAGATCGCTCCGATGTGGTGTCATGTGCGACGTAGCCCCGCTGTCGATAAGCCATTCTTCGCATTGCAACTCACCAGCAGCAAACACAGCACCTTCTTCCTCGCCATTGCTACGCTTCAGGCAGTCCCGCTTATAGTGTCCGACTTGACCACACTTAAAGCACTTGCCTTTAATTCCGGTGTTGGTTTTCCGTAGGTAGTTTCCCTTGCGGCCGTTACCTTGGCCTCCCTTATACCGTCTACCGTTGCTGCTTACAGGAAACGCCTTCTCCGTAGTCTCCTTCTTCTGCAATCGTTTATGCTCCTTGAGCAGCTTTTCCTTGACCTCGATGAGCGTATTGTCCTAGGAATTCTCCACAATTGACGAGATGAGCTCAAAGTCCGTCGGAAGACTACTAAGCAGCATTACTAGCTGCCGAGAGTCATCGACTGGCTCTCCAAGTGTCTGGAGGCCGACAACAAGCTCGTCAAAAGCATCCAAGTGCTTCGACATGGTCGAACCATTCTCCATCTTGAACTCATGCAGACGACGTGTCATCTCGACACGATTGTGGAGCGTGGTGCGGCTGTAGAAGTCCCGCAAGATGACCCACGCGTGCATAGCTGTCGTCGCCGATCGTATCTTGGTCTGGTGCTGTAGCTCTATGCCTTGAGCGATGATACCCAGTGCCTTAGCGTCGTTGAACAGCCAGGCATCCGTCATCTCTTCTTCTTTCTTGATGACTTGAACGTGCACCAGCATCCCCTTGCGCGCCAACGTCATGCGCATGTTATACTCCCAGTGGAAGTAGTTTCCACTACCCAGGAGGACTTCACACCGCTTGTTTGTCATGGTGGACGTGGTGGCTTGGCGGTTTGGAGCGCGTTGCGGCTGTTAACCTGTGGATGTTAATGTGCGCAGGCGAAGGCAAATTGTGAAGTGAATATTTTATGGTCCTTAGTTCGCAAACTTGATTCGCTACCTCTAAGCCACTCATTTCCTATACTTAGACAAACTATATCAGTCCCACTGATTTAGCTAGACCAATGAACACCCTTCGATCTTCTCAAGATCTTCTAGAAGGTTCACTGGTTTATCTAGACCAATCAACACCCTTCGATCTTCTCAAGATCTTCCAGAAGGTTTAATAAGCTCTCCTTGTGACGTCACCCGATGACGTCATGCTGTGCTTCTTCTCAGCCAGTCCTTCTCGATTCTTCCAAACCTATCCATGAACATAAAAAGCAGTAGACGGTGCTATGTTAACACTTTTGCTCCTAAAAAGAGGCCGTGGATTTCCATACAAGAAGCATTGGTTCGTCTGGCTGAGATGACGAGTGATTGCCATCAAATAAGAATTAACAATTATCAAAGCTTACAAGCTTGATCCTAGTGAGAATAACTATCGCACTGATCATACATTATTCATTGATGCGTTCTATAAGCATCTATGTTACAGTAGTATACAAAGACCGTGATGTCCCCTCTTGACCGAGGCATGGAACGCTTTAATCCACAGTATCGCTGGTACAGGGTGTGGTACTTACCTAAACATGCTGCTGCTAGCTCAAAATTGGTTTTAGAAACGGACTTCTGCTATTGCACATTTCAAACTAGATCGGTTGTCAAGCGAGGCTGGGCTACTGTGCCTCTTTTGGGGTAATACGAGCCAAATATGTGTAAATTACTCGGCACGAGCTTCATGGTAAACCTACTTGATCACTGACGCCTGGTGGAGGTAACGTGTCACTTAAAAGATAGATCGAGGGTTTATAGTTAATTTGCAATACCTCTACAAGCGCTCTGGGCATTCGTTCCCGATGGGCCTCCTTCGGCATCGGATGTGTCTTGTCACACTACTTCACGAGGCCCAAACCGTCAACCAGCAGTTAAGAGCGAGGGTCCCCAGTATATTTCAAAGGTGGAATTCAGCGCGACCGAAGTTGGTAAATCGTACGGCGTCCTTTTACACTGCGGAAATTTAACAGGCGTTCCTCGAGTAAGCGTTAACAACCACGGGCATCAATTATTGAATGAGGCGGAGGAGGAAAAACGATCTCAGACGAATTTGCAGGTCCAGTCTGATGCTGTGAGTCAGCTCGAGCGCGTAACATGTAGGTTGCGCAAGAGCCTCGAGCAAGAGAGGAGCACACGTCTGATATCGGTAGATAAGGTAAATTGTACTTCGTTGTAACGGGAGAGGGTTCCATCAAATTTTGCGTAATTTAAGCTTGAGGATGAGCGGGGGGGGACAGCGTTATTTACATGAAGAGCTAGCAATCTCGTCAAAAAGTCTCTCGGCTTCGCAGGGAGATATCTAAGCATCAGACGTGGGCAGATAGTCAGCACCGCGTTCACAATTATCTCTTAGCGATGGTCAAGCGCAAAGTATATTTCTTCACTGAAAAAGTCCCTTAATTGTTTGTATTTAGGCGACCGACGAAGATAGTAGGATAAGTGCGCTTCGTACGTGGCAGTTTAATCGTTTTTGCATTTCGTAAGCGGCGCAGTACACAAAATGATGGACCGATAAACTCAAAAAGTAACTTTTTACTATTCACGAAAGTCACTACGTGTAAAGATAGAGTTAATATAAAAATCCGGAATATGCTACCTTCACTAAGTGAAATGACGTTTGATTTATGTTTTGGATAGCGATTAATTTTGTTGGTCCACCGCTGCGATGAATCTTGCACGAAACAGACAACTGTTCCGCGAGCTTGTACAAATTCATCTGCTGACTCGCTATCTTTGACTACAGTGCGCTTGTAGCACAATGCTGAAATCACTGACCCGTTTATTCAAAGCACTCTTGCTTGTATTTTCTCGTAGTCAGCAAAATCGAAGTGGTCGACATCGGCGTCATGCGTAGTGATCTTGTGGTATTACGTGATGAGCGGGAGAAGGTTTGGCGTTCACTCAAATAGTATCCTTCTCCCTCTTTAAGGTAGGCGTAGATGGTCCACGCCATTCAAGAATTACGGTGTATGCATTGTCGATTCATACAATAAGTAGTGGATCGCAAATAATTACCATGTGCTAGACTTCGCTTCTTTCGACTAAAAATTAGCGTAGCCTCGAGTTAATTCCTAAATAATGTGATTATCACGTTTGGCTTACCATATTATTCAGGGTGGTCAGAGGTCAATATCTGAAGGTGCGTTTCGAGTATTCAATCGCCAATTTTATCCGTGAACTCTTGTTATTCATCGGAGGTGAGTTTACGCGGTAATTGATGAAGACGAAAGATCAAGTGAATAAAAACCAGTAATTGCCGATGCATTGATGGATTCAGGCACATGGACCAGTTGTACCGTTTTACTTAATTTATGTACGAGCACAAGAAAACATGTATTGTTGTCGGGGTCTGCTGGGTATTTAACGACAAAATGCAGAAAGACAGTTTTTTAGTATTCTGCTGGAATGGGAAAGGGTTGCTAATTCGTACTAAGCGAAAAAAACAGACTTCTCTTGTTGACATAATTCACATGCGCGGACGTACTTACGCATGAACCGGTACTGGAGGGGACAGTGAAAGTCAGGACCATTTGTAAATTTTTATCTGTTTCAACTACCGTGTTCATTTGTAAATGCATCGCGTTTGTCATACATGATGCGCAGTAGCAGGTCACCATGGTCCAGCACGACGCCACGAAACGTGATGCCAGTAATGGCTGGAACCTGAAGCTAGTCATTGTGTATTTTATTTCTCTACGTGGAGGTTCGATAAAGAATGAGCTAACCTTTAAGGATTGACGGAATGGTTGCAAGATATGATCCTTTAATGCACCATCGTCGGATCGTGAGTCTTAAGTATGTCTTCTAATAAGACGTTCGACGAATCAATTATCGTCAACAATGCAACAGTGGCCGGACCAGAAACGGACAGCGCAACCGGTTCGATTTCTGGCCGGCGTGACAAAACGTCATCGGCGACATTATGTCATCTTGTCTTTTATTACAAAGAGATGATAAGTTTCGACAAGAATGAAACCCCTCTTGCCATTCGCTAAAAGAGGTTTGGGCTGTTATAGGCCGTGCGTAAGTACGCATGGTCCGTGTGAACGATGAAGGGTCTAGTACCTCGTTGATTGATCCTAGTTTTCGACATAGCACTCTTCATGGCAAGGTTGCTTTGTCTTGTGCTGAGTAATTACTTTTAGCCGGTTTCATCTGACGTGATCGATAGCATAAGACACGCTCAGCACCGTCTGCGTCATACAGCAATTATTAAGTGCACATCCGATGGCAAAAATTACTTGCATCGCAGACCACATAAAATGGTCTGTCTTGTTCTGCAATTGCCAAAACAGGCGTGTTTATCCAGATTTGATTGATACCTACAAAACAGGTATGGCAATTATCCCTTTATGACCAATTCTTGTTTTCATCAATGTACGAGATAGCTAGATAGTCATCTCAGCGTCTTTTCGCGAGTATTTGTGCAAATACGCCGCTAGAACAAGAAACTTCCGAAGTTCCTTTTTTGCATGAGGCACCATTCATTCAGTAATTGCTTTGATCTTGACCGGATCAGGCCGGACGCCACCCACGATGCATCCAAGAAGTGGTATTTTGCTAGCCGCGAATATATTCTTTTTGAGGTTGGCACACAACTTATGCTCACACATCACTTTATGGACCTAACCACGTAAAGTTGGTGGACTTCCACATCCTTCCGTCCGCATGTAGCCTGATATGGACGATCACGTCATCCAAAAAGGTAGGTTTGAACTCGCAAAAATATCGACAGCTTCGAAAAGCATCTTTTAGTCTAGAAGGGGCATTACCTAATCCAAGTGGCACAAACTATCCACTCTTTAGTGGTCCACTTACGATGCTCACCGCTGTGTACGGGATGTCTCGTTCTCGCATTAGAATCTGATTGAAGCCATCCATTAATTCACAATTGCACAGCCACGGGTAGAAGACGTCGAGGATTAAGTCCCCACGTACTAGAGGAAAGAATTTTTCTAGACGTACGTTTATCATACCATATATAATGGCGTTCTTCCTTAGTGTAGAAGTTTAAAACATCAATTTGCAGCTTTCAACTCGTTTAAGAAATGCTCGTCATGCCACCCTCCTGTTGCATATAAGACACAAAAGGTAGAAGATCTTTCAGATAAGTTAGTTCTCTCAGCAAGCCCGATGCCAAGCGATCGGCTTATAATTTGTCATTTTTAGTATCTGCTCACGAGGCAGTGGCCACTGCTTCATGACTAGTACCTTGAGCATGATTCCAGGTCCATCCCATGACGAGTACCGTGTCCTTGAGTAATTCACACGGCACTGATTCTTCAAAAAAAATTTTTGAATTCCGTTAAAACATCGTAGAGAATTTTTGTCTTGAACAATTTCCGTGATTGGGATATAAATCGCTTAAACCGAACAATTTCATTTTATACACTCTCGTCTTTTGATGAGCTGCTGAGAACTCTTTATTCTCAGTGAAAACCATTACTAATTAAATGTCGCTACGTACTCGTCTTTCGCGACAACAACGAAAATATGCATGACTTTGCCACTACACAGATCGGACAAGAAACCATGATGTCGTAGTGTAGACCGTTGATTGGTCTCCGAAAATAACTTCGGGTGTTCAACCGATAAAGCGATCTTACGTCCAAGCTCGATCCTTCGTTGAACAAGGCGTTTAACGTCTCTGTTTCGACCTAAAACTTGTTTCCATAGGTTACAGAGAGCCTATTCTCACAGCATGTACATCTTGAAAATTTCTTTTTTTGTACGTGGGGACCTATTCCGTTGACGTCTTTTAACTGTGGCTGTGAAATTATAGTCAGGTCCTACCTTCTCCATATGGGCCTCTAATTGACCTAGAATATTCGTTT